CGCTACACTGAAAAGTAAGCAACCGACAGCCTGTATAAAAGGAGGGCTGTGATTGGCTGTTACTTATGCGAGATTTGAACGGGACTTACATAGGCGTCGGATCAGATGTAGGTAGGGCAGAATTAAAATAAAATCACAAAATCAAAGTAAAATAATAAAATAAAAGGGCATTAATAACAAAAGTAATAAAAAATAAAATTAAAATAAGTTTATAGCCACAATAATTAAAGCCCGTACACTACATCAGATTTTAATCAGATTGCATATTTTCATTAATTGGATATGCAATTGTGCTCTAGTTGATGATTCTTTGCCTAAAATGGAAAAAATATCGAAAATTGGAGATTTGAGAGGCAGCCATATTGACTAATTATCATATTAGCATATTCTTTTGGGTTGATTAGTGGTCAGACATACCACCTCTTTCAGATGCCATGAACTGTTTTGAATAAATTAACATAACAATAAAATTGTCTGTTATACCTACTGACAGTGTACAAATGTATATGGAGTGAACTGTTCAAAATCAATGGTATTCAGGATCTGAGGGTGGTTATTCCTATTATAATATATACCAACTAAAGGTGATTCTGGGATACATAAATAACTTTAAAGCAAAGAAAAAAATGTGATACTGAGTCAGAAACGATTTACTTGCAACCATGGTTAAATGAAATGGGCCCTGGAACTAGCATTGAGTGATTATAAAGATACATCGAGCAGTGACGCAAATTCACATCCATAATTTGGCATTGCAAGTTTTAATTGTGAAGTTTCTTTTTATCGGCAAAATTGATATGTAAAAAATACAGATGTCAATTAGCAGTGTACACATTTTGAAGATTGAGAAAACTTTGGGTTCTCGATCAGTCCACTGTAGACTACACTCAATTTTTTGGCGTTGTTTGCGTAATTCTGTAAAATTATTTTGCTTCTGCTTTATTTTGAACTCAAAAAACCTGATGGTTGCAATGTTGCGATTATGTCAGTAGCACAAAAAAAAAATATTTTGTTGATTTGAGTTGACAGGATTTACCTTACTGTGTGTTATTCATGTTTGGGGCCTATGTCTAAACACTGAAAACCATGGTGTATTAGTTTTTTTAGATTGGCTTGCATAAATTAAAACTACCTCTCGTCCAATCATAATCATGCTTTTACAGGCATGAGACACCAGTATAATATAATATGAGGTTATTATAAGGATACCTCAAAGAATGCTTGGGAGTTCGGTCAAACCCTGGTGGCAGCCATGTTTGTTTTTATTATTAGAGGACGCTTACGTGCATAATAATTCCATATTTGGAAATCGCATTTTCTAATATTGTAGGATGAAAATACCCTGTAAAATACCGCAAAATTATGGAACGCTGTAACATTGCGGTCACAAATGATAATAATATTTATATATAAACTATTCATTGATTGAAAGCTATTCTAGTGTTATGTAAGCTACCAGGTATATCTATAACATTTGTGACTAGGGACACACTTTAAATGCCTAGACACATTGACTGATTTTTACATTTAGCAATGGGAAGCATTGCCAAATATAGACAATAATCAAATTTATGGTAATTTTTTGTTTTTTATATGATTTAAAGATAAGAATATACCATTGTGCATAAGAGGATACAGCACACTCAACACAGTGTTCTATGTGATAATTATAGCCACCATAATGCTAGTTTTATCTCATTCTCCACATAAATGAGTCTGAATTCATGTACATTTCAGAAATAGCTTCACTTTAGATCTATCCTAACACTTTATGTTCTAATACTGTAAAATCTGTATTAGAAGCCGCTGCTTCTATTAAAATGGTACAATGCAACATTGGAGATGCGACTTCTATTAGAGCATCTACACATATGAGAAATAATGAATTTTTGGTTCTCAATTATTCAAAAAGAATGGGTGTGACTTCTATTAGGGATGGGGCTTCTAATACAGATTTTTACGGTACATGTGATTTTTTGTTTTCAGCGGATGGTTCAAGTGGTTTCAAAGCGGAAGCTGATCGTTATCATCTGTACGTCTCATTAGCATGTCCATGGGCACACCGTACTCTGATTGGTCGTAAATTAAAAGGATTGGAGGAAGTGCTGCCATATACGGTTGTTGATTGGTTGCTTGGCCCAGGTGGTTGGAACTTCACTGATAAGGTGATAGCTAATCAGGAAAAGTAATTTTGTTTTTCGCGTTGTTATTTTGTCTCTTAAAAAAGGCAATAAAACTTTCTAAAATATGAGATGAATAGAAGTGTAGTAAGAATATTTAAACCCTGAATAATAATAAAAAAACTCAATTCCAAACATCATTGAAAATTGTTTGTTTATCAAATCCACAGTCATAATCATGCTTTTACATGCATGAGACACCAGTAAAATATAATATGAGGTTATTACGAGGATACCTCAAAGATTGCACAAAGCCTGTACAGCTTGAGTATCGACCGACGCGCAGTGGAGGTCGATGCGCTGCGTACTTTCTGAGTGCATACTTTGAGGTATTCTCATAATAACCTTGTTATTATATTTTATTATTTTGAGAATGACCAGTTTTCAATACATACCCTAGTGCATATACAAAGCTAAATGTCGGTAGTAAACACAAAATAATTGACAAAATTATTTATTTGCCGGGCTTGTGAAGATATTAAAGTAGTAATTAGTCCTTGTTCAGACGAAGTCCGAAAACGGGAACTTGTAATTCGGTCTCCGTCCGTGCATCCGTGCATCTGTCCGTCCAAAGTCATATCTCAGAATCCCTTGGACCGATTCCGTTCATTCTTTGCATGTGTCTAGTACTTTATGTGGGACATATGTACATGCAGTGGTTTAGCGATTTGATTCAAAATGGCCGACTGGCAGCCATTTTGTTTTTTGAAAATGTTGTATTTTGGACATGCTTTGTCAGTTTTCATTCAAACTTGGTACATAGATTATACATGTTAGGATACATATCCATGACGATTTATTTCTCAATTGAATCAAAGATGGCCGACTAGCAGCCATCTTGTTTTTTGAAAATGTCATATTTTGGACATGCTTTGTCAGTTTTCATTCAAATTTAGTACATAGATCATACATGTTAGGATACATGTCCCGACCGTCCGTGAGTTCCTGTGTCTGTCCGTTCGTGTGTCCGTCCGTCCGTCCGTCCCTGCGTCAATCTGTCCAGAGTCATATTTCAGAATCTCTTGGACCAATTCAGTTCATTCTTTGCATGTGCTTAGTACATGTACCTTATGTGGGATATACGCACATGCAGTGGTTTAGTGATTCGATTCAAAATGGCCGACTGGCAGCCATCTTGTTTTTTGAAAATGTTGTATTTTGGACATGCTTTGTCAGTTGTCATTTAAACTTGGTACATAGATTATACATGTTAGGATACATGTCCATGACAATTTATTTCGCAATTGGATCAAAGGTGGTCGACTGGCAGGCATCTTGTTTTTTTTTATGTGGTATCTTGGACATGCTTTGTAAGTTTTCATTCAAATTTGGCACATACATGTACTTCATACATGTTAGGATGCATGTCCATGACAATTTGTTTCAAAATCTGGTCAAGGATGGCCGATTGACAGCCATCTGACTTTTTGCCTTACTACTATATTTCCCCAATTTATGTACCATTTTCATTTGTATTTGGCACATACATCATTCATATCAGTGTGTTTCATAATCAGATCAAAGATGACCGAATAACGGCTGTTTTTATTTTTGGCCATATTACTATTACACGGAACACATGTTTTGATGTAAATAAACAATCTGTTGTATACGCCACTTGGAACTCAAGTTTCAAGGACTCGCTCGGGACAACCTCTCCGCTTTAATATGACGAGCACAAAGAGAACTTTCAAAAATTTAACGGGGACTGTCATTTTCAATGACTTGTTACAAAAGTGAGTCAGGTTTATCACTTCCCAGCTGTATTGAGATTGCATGAACTATGTATAACATGCAATGTATGTGTGGGACTTAACAACTATTAAACAATCAGTAAATGCGAAATGTGCAGTTCCGATGATAGTGTCCATGTAAGTAATTGCAGGTTGGCCACTGTTACCTAACATTTTATATCAAAGCTATAGACTTCAGTGTGAAAACCTTGTTGTAAATGGTAAAATGTACTAGTTTTGATGCCTGTCTCCACAGAAACCTAAATGTTCCCTGGACACTGTGAACAATGCAAAATTTTTGAAAGAAATTTACAAGAAAGCTGATGCAGGTATAGTTTACATTGTATTATTGATTGACTTGTCAAATCAGA